GCTGTTAAGTTACACTACTTTTGGAGCTAAGAGTTACGTCTGCTTCATCACATCAGCGGCAAATAAACCAAGCTGAAATTTTATGGTCTTGTCTCAATGCTTAGTGACAGTCTAGATTGCAATACCTACCCACTGGCAATCACAGCTGGCAATCTCTGAAGAAATTCTCAGAAAAGTGCAAAAAAGTCTGTGTCACCTAAATAATTCACTTTCACTGTAGGATTTTTGTCATTAGTGATGCAGAGCAGGAAAATTCACATTATAGTTGCTCTTAATGCACATGAAGTCTGTTATTTGAAAAATAAAAATTACATCTACGTCAGTCCCAGATCTACAAGAAACCTCAGAACCTATGAGTTTCAAAGAGCCACACAGCATTTTGACAAGGTACTGACATTATACTTTTACTGGTTTAAGTGATTAGAAACTGGTCTCAACCTGTAACAGAACAGAAGTTTGGTACACACAGACTGGTTTAAAAATTGTGGAACCTGGTCCAAGATAGGCAGTCTAAATGTCCTCCCGCCGTCCCCCTCAAGGACAAATGTGTGTTCTGTTTGCGACCGAGTTAAACTATGCCCCTTACAGAAAGCCATGTACCTTAGACTGATTCTGCCTTGGGCTTTTTGAATGTCTGTATCTAGCCTTTATGTACATATATATAAAGCAGAGATTGCTATATTTAGTTCTATATATATATCATATCTCTACAAATGCAAACTTTATTTTCAGCCATCTAGGAGCTTTCACAGTTTAGATCACTGTCAACTGACCATATGTAGGCAATAGAAAATGATAAATATCTTCTTGTGATTACATTTTGTTGCTATTAAGCAGGGTAAACATGTCAGTTTAGCTTACATTTACATTGCACATTAAGCTGAAAGCTGTAAAGAATTTTTACCGCAATGTAAAATTCCAAAAACAAAATTAGCGCGATGATGGTTTACTGCAAAAAGCCTATAGCGGTACAAATTTTCTAATGATAGCATGACTGGCTTTTAATTAAAAAGTTTAAAGTATTCAATTATATTAATGAATTCATGTTTTCAGTGCCTGTGTTTTAAGATTTTATGGTTTTATCAGGCTTTACAAAAACTTTCAATTAGAATGTTTCCTGACAACTTTAGATTTGCATCCCACATTTTTGTCTTTAAATCATGTTAGCTGTTTATATATCAAGGAAAAATAAAAGCATGATTGAGGAGGCTGTTAATGTTCTATGCCAAGTTTCTGTCCTTATCTTTTGGTTCATCTGGTCTTACAAAAGCTCTTTCTATTCATCCATCACTTTTCTGACTAGTTTGATGAATGAAGTATTGACTCATGCCTGCACATCTCTGCAGTACAGCAGGATTCTACTTATTTAACAATTAGTCAAAGAGGGTGGCATACTTAGGAAGATATGATTTATTTTTTGCTTATCAGTTTATTTAGCCAGAACCAGTTCTCAGGCTCCTGAGAGTGAAATATTGCAAGTTAAGCTTTAGGAATGTCTTGTTTTGATTTAATGTAATTTGACTGCTTAAAACACATTAAATAAATTTATTTCCAGATTATGTTCAAAGCTATAAACCATCTCTTCTCTTTCAGTGGCATTCTAAATAATCCAAGAAAAAAGACCTGATACAGTTTTAATAATTTTACTATTTTTAATTAAGTTATTAAAAAATGTAAATTACTATTTCAAAATTGAAGACCAATAAGAATATTAAGATATAATACAAAGTATCATAATGTATTCCCTCCTAATTTTTTTTTATTTTAGTGCAATTGCTATGGTTCTTTTTCTTCTTCATGTAATAAAAATGTTTTATAAAAAAAATGTCATAGCTCTGGGGAAAAGCCTCACTAACAATATCTAAGGGTTTCAGAATATATTTAATCATATTTTAATTGCTTTTCTATTTACAGAAAATAAAAATGATTTGCAAAATATTTTTATGTTTTAAAAAATAACCTAATAACAACTAATGCTTGTGAGATAAATACAAAGATTGGGTAAGTAATATTACAAAGTAATTATACAGTCAGGCACTATAGAATCATTATCTTTAACAATGTGTTTTTAAACCTGCTCCCATTTGCTTTAAATGGTGCGAAATCAAGTCCTAAAAAATGTATTACTATTACATTACTAGAAGGTATTAGTGTTAAAATGAGAGAATTTCCCCAAAGTATACAACTGTGAACAACATTCGTCATACTGAGATTTTAAGAAATAGTTCAGAGGGCAAATACTATTTACCACTCCTACAATTAGCAAAACATTATGGTATTATGGAGTTTTCAATGGAAATATTAAACAAAGCAGCTCTCTCAAACAGGCAAGGGTTATAGGGGCTGTGTCTCAAGAGGGCCGTGACTATATCGCATAGATTTAAAATATTTTTCCATTAAATCAGTAGTGTAACTGAACGAGGGCCTCATTCCTGAGCACCAACTTAGGGGGGGCATTGACTTTGAGGGGCACCAAAGTGGAGCCTCCTGCTGCCTCAAGTCTTTGCCACAGCAGAAACAGCCCTGTACTACCTGGCTGGTGGAGCTGGCTACATGGACAGCCAGGGCAGGTAAAACAAGCCACCACCCTCTTTCCTCCCTCCTCCTGAGTGCAGGAGAGTTTTGCTTAGGACATGAAACTCACTAGTTATGCCTCTACATTAAAGAGAGAGAAGAAATTGATATTAGGTACAGCTTATATATCCTTCTACCTTTTTTCTCCCTAGTTTGTGTAAAAATTGTGAGTCCCATGCCTTATAGAGTTATATTAGAAAAAATCCATGCATGCAGTGCAGTGCAGCAGTAGAAATTTGCAAGGGTACCTGATATGTCCTGGTATTGAGAAACTACAGGACCCCAGCTTCATTACTCTATAGATATTCCTTCAGCTAAAGGATTTCATTTGTGTTTTTACTTTCATCGGAATTACAGTGATAAGTACAGGTCCAAAAAAATACTGCACCCCAGTTCAGTAGTCCCAACATGGGACCCAATTCAGCAAGGCACTAAACACCAGATTTTAAAAAAAAAAATCATGGATTTCACTGAGCATTAAGTATCTATAAATATTTTAAAACATAAGTTTCTTGCACAAGATTATCTAGTGACATCAACCTCAAAGTGTTTTAACATCCACAGGAAGAAGGAAGTTGGCAACCTGAAACTGATTTTTAAATTACCTGCAACCAAGTACCACTGCAGACACGAGTAACATATTTCATTTCATGGTGTATAAATTGAGTTTTGAAGCCCAATTTTTAAATTCAACCTCTTAAAATTCAAACTCAACTTATACACTGTATCATCGTCCACTGCAAGCGGCACTGGACTCGGCACTGGGCTGGTGCAGCCCAGACAGCACTGCTTGTAGGGGATGGAGGAAGACCAGCCGAGCACCAAGCCCAGCACCACTCGTAGGGGATGGGACAGGGTCAGGGACAGGGCCGAGCTCAGTGCTCAGCTGGTGTGGCCCAGGCAGCATCACTTACAGGGGATGGGGCCACCCCACCCAAGCCTGGCCCTGTCCCCTGCAAGCAGCACTGTGGCATGTGTCCACCCCCCGGGTGCCTAGCCCACAGTGAGGACACACAGGCCTGTATAAGTTGACCCCATATTTCTAATCCAAAAAGTTAGGTCAACTTATACACTGGATCTACAAAATTCTTAATTTTTTGGATTAGAAAAATGGGGTCAGCTTATACAATATGTCAACCTACACACTGTGAAATTTAGTAACAGAATTTAGCTCTCCAGCTGCCTCAATGCACTTCCAAATCAGCTGGTTATGTTAGCTTAAGTGTTGTTATTTGTCCCTACAATTGACTGCAAGTGGAAGAAAAAAGAACCCAGGGTTAATTAACAAGTTAGTAAGTAGAAGTCAAAGCAATAATCTTATGATTTATTTCAGATCACAACTACCCATGCTCCTGCACTGATTAGCACCAGGTTTCTTCTCCCTGAATCATTCCTATGCTACTAACATGAACAACATTTTTGCAAATGACATAGATTATCTTTCAAACATAACTTAATGGATTCTGCACAATAAACTCTTCCCTACAGTGTGCTTTTCAATTATAATAGTATATTATATAATAACATTAATATCATAACTCAACCAGAAAAAAGTTACACAGATATGGTGCTTATCAAAGCCAATGATTATTAACACTTTTCTTCTGAGTTTAAATAAGGCAGAAGTTAACTGGGTTTGAAGGTTAATGAATAAAACATACCCATACAAGAAGCAATAGGTTTCTTTTCACTGTGCCACAGTACCCTAACATCCCCACGATGATAAGGAAGCAACAGACTGCAATCATGACTGGATGGACCACGGGAAAATAAGTCAGAATGACAGCTTCCTCCACCCTGAAAACAGACAAAAACCAGTAACAAAATAAAGAACCGCACTGTAAACACAGAAACTACAAACAGAATATTAACACTGCAATCTGTAATGAAAACGTTTATTAGTTGTCACATCGTTTAAAACATCCTACCAGTTTTTGATCACAGAAATGAATTATGCTGTGTTTGAAAATCACAGATTTCCTGAACATATGGAAGGCTGAATACTTACAATGTACGTGCTTTTTGCTCTGCGTTTGTACAGTATCTAGCACAATGGTCCATGACTAGGACACCTGATGCTACAGTAACAAAACTAAAGATAATGCTTGCATCTCTAAATTTAATAGAAAGTATTCAAAATATGCTATAGAGTAATATACCAAAAGGGTTAGTCAGGGACCTAGCTTTTCGAAGAGACAGATTTTCATGGGTCTCCTGGGAAGCAGGAGCACCCTATGACACCAAATGGTAAGCCACAGAATTCATCCCCTAGCCCTCCCCCAACCTACATTCCTGGAGTAGGAAGCCAAAATTCACCACTGACGATAAAAAAAAGGCAGAGAGAACAAAAGTGGGCAGGACAAGGCAAAAATTAAATTTGTTCTTCTCTGATTTCAGGAACTCCACAAATAATTGTAAAATATCCCTTTTAATAAAAATAATTAGAATGACTTCAAAGGATTGCTTCTCCATAGAAAGCTTAATTAGGAAACCAGATACTTTGGATAAACTATGCGCAGCAGCAGCATTCAGCTACATATAGTATCAGATTTAAAGATAGACTTACCTTGTTTCTGCAGTTAAAGTGAGAACATTATTCAGGTAGTCCCTCATCCAAGCAGACACACCCAACACACTAATGGACATCAACTGAAAAAAAAAAAAAAGTGTTGTTGTTTATCAAGCATCTAAAAAAATTAAATACAGGATTAATCAGTCATCACCAATACTGGTTGCAAAAATAATCATTTATCAGAACAAAATACTCAAGTTGTGCTTACATGTGCTGAAGTTGGGTTTTTGCCTAGGTATTTACAGAAGCATAATTATCATCCCTCTGCCAGTTCAGTTATTTGATGCCTACAACGTCTAATGCTTGCTTTCCCACCTGCATAGCAGTGGACACTAATAATGGTTGAATCCATAAAAGTATACACACTGGGGAGTGAAGAGCTTTGGAGGAGATTTACCTCTGCTTCTAACATCAGTAATTACTGTGGAGATCCCAACAGAACTCTGCTGGTTACTATGAATCACATGTGCAGAGCCAGTAAAGGACAATCCAAGACCCAGCTCAGCTAAGACAGACACGGGTGTTAGAATAAGGTGTCACCTTACTCTAATATAGTACAGTGGTCTAATGACTAAAGTACACAAACACAGTGGTCTGGTGATTAAATTCAGAAGAATTGGGTTCAGTTCCTCACTCTTACACAGACAATATGTCCTTGGGCATGCCACATGCCCATTTCCCCATCTGTAAAACAAAGTAACACTACTTTCTTTGTCTATTTAGACTGTATGGAACAGTCTCACATAGAAGCCTAATCAAGGCAGCAGTAAGATGCCTAAATCAAGGAAAGAGGAAGGAGTTCAGACACAAACTTTTGTTTAGCATTCTTTATTGATTAGTTTAGGCATTCCCTTAGGCAAACACATACACACAGTGTTAGCTGTTGTATATCCCTTTTCTGGGCGTGTAATTCTCGCCTTACACTCCTTAGGGCAGGGGTGGGCAATTATTTCAGAGGAAGGGGGGGCAGCTTAATGAGTTTTGGTGAGCTGCCAAAGGCCACATGGGCAGTCCTGCACCTTGACAGTTACCCTACCCCCTTGCTACCATTGTAGGACGGGAAGTCCCACCCCCAATCCCTGACCTTTGACCCTTGTCCCTTTCCTTGCTCCCCTGAAAATACTCCTTTTGGGAGTGGAGGGTTGATATCTTAGAACCAGAAAAAAACCCAAATCATACACTAGAAGTAAAGCACCTACTATAACATATTTTAACTGCATTACAAAAAATATTTTTGTCATGATTTATGTTTGAGTAGTGTATATAGAGGTGACTGCATAATAACTCAGAAATAAATTCTTAGTTTTATATATTGAGGGGCAGGGTATGGTGGGGGGTGTGGGGATGTGTGTGCGCGCATATGGGGGAGTGGGGGGTGATAGGATGTGGGGGTATGGCAATGTGGGGGGGCACAGGGTATATTGTGGGGATGTGCATATGTGGGGAGTTGTGGGGGCAGGGTATAGCTGTGAGGGAGGGTGAGGGAGTGTTGGGGCCCCCTACATGCCCCCATGGCACAGCAGTAGCAGGCAGGGTGCTCAGACTGTAGGCGCCCAAAGGGCTGCAGCTCCAACCAGCACTACACATCACAGCAAGAGGCGCAATCTCTGCCAGGCTGTCTCTACCACCAGGGCTCCCTGCCACTCACGCACAGCCCCTGTGCTCACACAGCACAGGAGGGAAGCCCCATGTGCTGGAGCCTGCTACCTTCCCTGCCAGGGCTACACAGCACAGTAGGAATGCCTCAGGCACTGGAGCCGGCTGCCTTCCCTGCCAGGCCTGCACTGCAGGGGAGGGAAGCCCCAGGCGCCTTCCCGGGGGGGGGGCGGCGGGGAAGGCAGCCAGCTCCAGTACCTGAGCAGTGGCAGCAGCAGCAGGCAGGGCTTCAGGGCACAGGGCTGCTTACCATGAGGCAAGTGGGGGGGTCCCCATATACCCCATATCCCTCACACCCACACGCTGCTCCCCCCCCACCGAGTTCCACGCTGCGACCAGCCCCAGCCCCATGCTCCTGCCACCTGCAGACCCGCACCCACCACTTCCCCACCTGCTGCCCAGAGCCAGCAGGAGACCAGGGAGCTGTGTGCTGGTTGGCTGAGCTGTTCCACCCACAAGGGTGGGAGCGAGACAATAGGGTGTGTTGGGGCTCTGTGTACATGTGGACACTTTGCTCCCACTCTTGTGGGTGGAACGGCTGGGTGGGGCACAATTTGTTGGTGGGTTCCACAAGCCGGATGAAAGTGCTTGGTGGGCCAGATCCAGCCGGTGAGCCATATTTTGCCCGCCCCTGCTTCAGGGTCATAAGCATCTAATTCACAGTTGTAAATTCCACTCCAAGAGCCAGGTGCCCACAAAGCATGGTAGACATTACGCATGGTCACACTAGAGACCCTTTGTGTATCTGAGTCCACACTCCTTAGATCACAGACTATGACTTCTGCATGTAGAGCACAGGGCAGAGTGGCACCTTACGGACGAACTCATTCAGAATAGCATACTGCAACAGAACTGTTCCGCCTGCTGGCAGCTTCTCAATTCTAGATTTATCCACTTTTGGTTTCCTTCACCTTGGTTCAGAGATACAGCAACAAACATACCAATGGTGCTCTTAAGTACTGCATCTAAACCAGAGATTCTCAACCAACGTGCCATGGCACCTTAGGGTGCTTTGAAAGTCTTTCATGTGGGCCACAGTGTGCCATACAAAGTTACCACTGTTAGGTGTGTAAGCATGATTCACAAGATAAACCCAGAAATTTAAAAAAGAAATCTTTAGTGTTAAACATTCTGACCTGTTGTGGTCTTCTTGAGTTCTTTGCAACAGAAGAATTGCTCTATTGTTTTTCTGTAGTGAAAAACATAGTGAAAACTGAAAACTGGCATTTTCCAATGGGTGCCTTAACTCTAAAAAGATTGAGAACCACTGATCTAAATGGCTCTAATTATTAACAACAGTACCTCTTCTGGAGGAGTCCCAGATTGCCCTGTAACTAGTTCAGTGCTAGCTACTGCCTTTATGTGTGCCCTGATACTGCCCAAAAGCATATATGAGGAACTGTTTAACTAGTGCAAAATTAATGCATTACAACAACTTCTCTGTGTCCTTATCAAGTTCTTGGAATTCTTTGCCTTTGCCTGAAGCATGCTTATAGCAGGCTATTTCTGTCTTAAACATTTCATGATACGTCCTAGTAACCATTTCATCCCTCCTTTTCAAAATCATTGCACATAATAGAGAATGCAATCCTGGCTCTAAGCAGCATCAGCAGGAGCTTCAGGTATTCAATCTGCTATGTACATATTCTTAGAAGTCAGTACAACTGTGATACACAGTCTGCATATCTGTGTGTCACTGCACATTTTCTTAAAGCTCCATGGGATCTATTTTGGTTGGGGAAATAGCAACAAGATTTTCTTCTGCTCTGCCTTGACTGCTACTTTAGGAAGCTGTCAGCAGTGTAAAGAGTACAGAAGATTTGGGTTTATTCCTCAGCCAAACTCCAGGAAGGGGAATCTTCCCTGGAAGGAAACAGTAGGAATATAAGTGAGGTATTTACAAAAAGATGCAAGACTACTAAGCACGTCCCAAGCACTTCTGACATTCTGAATGACTCCCCTTCCTATGTCATGTTTAACAGTAAATTCAAATTATTTTAACACCTCCCCCACCACACCCACCTGGATAGATGTGACAGAATAATACAAGTGTTTATTGATGTTACATCTCAGTATTTCTACTGGAGGGAATTCACCCTACTGTATTTACAGGAAGGTTTTATATAGATATTCAAAACTGGTGAAGCAAGCCATCAAATCTTCACTTCGCAACTCTCAGAAGAGGTTAACAGGCATTACAGAGCAAACAGCAGCAGAAAGAAACTCCCATCTGCTGAAAATATTTTTCTTTGGTATTAGATCAATGGCGAGCAGATCAAGAAGAATGTTAAGTATCAAGAACTGGGAAGGTATATTATTTTCTATAAAATGCAGACATGTATGCACTTGGGAATGAGAAGAATCTACCAGCTCTTTTTCCCTGTGACTTATGGTAACCTACACAACAACTTCTTCATCCCTATCATTAACCAGATTTGTAAGAGCAAACTACACACCAAAGGCTTCCTACTTCATTCTTACTTGTGTGAGCCAAATCATTCTCTCTACCTGCCTTCCTTTAACATATATATTTAAGGGCAAAAACAGCATATTTATTATATGTCACAAAAAAACAATAATGCATTCTTCTTTTTAAAATATCAGACAACTTTGAAAATGATGGTGCAGGCTCTATAATTTAGAATAAAATTACCCTTTTATGTTTCTTTTTCTAGAAATTATGAATTTGCTTATCTCCAGCCTTTTTTTGGAAGAAAGAAATTGCAGGACACTGACAATGTCAAGCTCAGAACTGTACTACTTCATTTCTACACATCCAAAAAGAATGCCTGATAAGTCAAAAGTAGAGGTGCAACAATACATCAGTCCGATATCGAATCGGCACAGATATAAAGAAAATTGACTCTGTCGGAAATCAGCTTTTTTTGCCCGATGCAGCTGATAATGTGGCTGCTAAATGCCCAATGAAGCGCAGCATGTAGGCAGTGAGTGAGCTGCATCCAGCTGGTAAGTCTGTTGTGGTGGAAGAAGGGAGGTGGAAGGGAGAGAAGGGGCATGGGGGGATGCAGATCAAGGTCCCTGTGGTGAGGGAGGGAGTAGGGCTGGGCTGGGACAGAAGCAGGTGCTGCACAGCCAGGGCAGGGCATAGTACAGAGCCACAGCTCATCAGGAGGGTGTGGGGAGGGAGGGAGGGAGGGAGGGAGGTATGTACCTCAGGAGGGCATGGGGGGTATGTACCCCCAGATCTGCACGGGGCAGGGTGGGCTGCCAATGTGGGCTCTTCCCAGTGGAGGGCTGGGCCGGGATTCACTTAGGGCAGGGGGAGGTGGTGGTTCTAGGAAGGGGGTTAGGGAGCCTACGGTGAATTTTGGGGTGGCTGCAGCCCCCCCATAACCTCCCTCCCAGCGCCACTGCTGCCTGCCCCGAGATCAGCTGGCCCAGCTCCTGCTGGGAAGAGCCT